GAACCAAGAGAAATAAAGGCAATTAGCATTTAGGTAGCATTTACCCCCAAAACCATTTTGGACGTTTAAACTCTTACCTGTGTTAACCATTTCTGTCGTTGTTTACATGCCCATAACTTGCTCACGTGACTATACGAACCAGAGTTTGGCTAGAAAGATTGGGAAAGTTCTAGCGACTATAAGAGTTCTAGTATAGCACATAAGGTAAAGTTAGGAAGCAAACAAGGTCGGTCAAATGTGGCACGCCTCAAGAGTTTAAAACCAACGTTACGCAAAGTTTATAAATCATTGGCGACAGACTCGCCGGTTAGCCCACGACAATATAAAGAAAAAATGTAATAAAAAAGAAAATCTTTAGGTTTTCCATCACAACACAGTAGTATTTGTTACTAATTCATGTTTAAATGATTTGAAGAGGTTGAAAATACGGTTGACATTTATCTGCATTTTCCACTGTGATTGATATTAAAATATGTGGTTTGGAAGAATTATTGTTATTTCAATATTATGATTGCTGCTACAGTATCTTTTTTTTTCACTTACATTCATCTGAATCGACCCAAGCATCATAAATGGTTCCCAATGGATCCGTTACTGTTTCGAACAATTCATGTGAGATCACGCTTATCATTGAATCAAGGGAGTCTCCGTGAGGGGTTTTAACTATTCTTGGAATTAAACTCGGATCAATTTGTGCGCGAATGCAATTAGCTGGACAATGGTCTGGATCACCGACAAAAGAATACTGAAATAATATGAGTATGAGAGAACTGGCGAAGCAGGATCTTTATAAAACTGTGATTTTTCAAATACATACTTTTAATCTTTTTTTCCCATCAGAGGCGAGGAAAGAAAAGTGATATCCGCACATTCCTCTATCGCTCACTTCACAAAAGACTACATCAGAATCGCCATATGCCACTTCTTTTGATGTCAAAACAAAGTAAACTAAAAAATATAAGGTAAAAAGCTTAATCTTAATGCGACTAGGTTTTACGCATGATCCTAACCAACCAACTTACTTCCTTTATCATCTTCGGGAAATCGACCATTGTGAATTTGATTATTGATAATGGTAAACATATTTTGACGGTTTAAATTTACTCCAAGAGTGGCATTCAAAGTCAGACTCTTGGCAACTTTTACCGGTCCGGTAACCTTGCCAGCCTTAGTACGACTTTCATCTACAAAACCGGTGTATTCCTTTGCTATGTCCCAATAACTAG